GGGGGGGGGGACAGAGAGAGAGAGATGGGGGAGAGAAGGGGGCGATGAGGCGTGCGCTGTGGCTGGCGTGCACAATGTAGCGTGGTAAAGACGCTTATGGAAAGGATTGCAAACTACAGTCGTTGCTTTAGTTTGCAAGCGTTGCACGCACCGTGCTTGTACGAACGAGTTGGTGTCCTCCGCGCCACCCTCCTGCAGCCGCTCCAGCAGCAACCCTAGGAGGTTATTGTGCGGCTGAGCTGTCGGCGCCGGGCTGCAAGGCCGCGAGATACAAGGCCTCCTCTCTATCCCTTTCTTCTCTCCCTCTCTCTCTCTCTCTCTCTCTCTCTCTCTCTCTCTCTCTCTCTCCCCCCCCCCCCTCCTCTCTCTCTCTCTCCCCCCTATTTGACTCGCCAAGGAGATGACTCTGTGGCCCCAGACGGAGCGGGGTGTCGGAGCCCCCTCGTAGGCCAGAAGACGAGATGGGGTGCGCACAGTAATGCCCTGTTTTCTTATTTCCATTGCGCCTCTCTTACAGTCTTTTCCAGCAGGGCTCCCTCTTCTCCAGGGACTTTTCCAGGGCGTGGGTAGTGGTTGAGTTCTGGAGGAGAGGGGGAGTTGAGGGTGACTGGAGCACCCAAGATGCCCTCTCCATGGGGTTTTCTTCAGGGCCCTGGAGGCTGGAGACAGCGCTTTGAACATTGGGCCCCGAGCGTATCCAACAGGAGCCCTTGCGTTGGACCTTGCGCTGGAGGTTTCGCCAAAATAGTGTTTAAAGGAGCCCTCGATTGCAGAGAATAGCCCTCACTGACCTCGTCGCTGACAAATACTTGATGTTGGTACGGTGGCTCTGTAGGCTTTGATGAGTTCCGTCCTTGATACAAATGGCGACCCAATCTGATGCACACACGGTGCTTTGTTTTTCGCGGAGCTTTCTGCCCTTCTGGCGAGAAAAACAAAAGAGACACGCCAACAACAATATTGTTCCCTTCGCCCTGCCCTCGGGGAGTAACCTTCTGAACGTACCTTTGCCGGGCTCGGTGGTGCACATCAGCGTGCCACGCCCCGCCCCACCTCGTCCTGCTCCACCCAGCCCTGCTCCACCCCGCCCTGCTCCACCCCGCCACGGCTCGCCGCGCCCCTCCCCGCACCACCACCGTGGCGGCACACTGTGATTAAAGAACTCGGCGCCCGGGCGTGCTGAAGGAAACTGAGGTGCGGCTGTAGGAATGAATGGGGAAATTGCTGAGTAAATGAGAAAAGTTACTACAATGATAAAACGCTCCGCGAGGGACGGAGGGATAGCATCAATATTGTACACAATGTTTCCTTACCGCACTGAAATAAAACTGACTGAATAATGTGAAAGAGGTATGCATGGTGACATTAACTAGAGTCTTGTCCACTTTATGGCCTACGCGTGCCTGCCGCTGCCCGCTGGTGGCGGCCAGCCACTCACTCGCGTTATGTGCACCAAGGGGGTGAAGAGTGTCAGCTGCTGCTTGCGATGAAAAAATTGTAGGCCTACGCATCTGATAATCTCTGAATTTGTCTTTTTCAGGGCTTTTGCTCGGATTCTGTGCGCCTGCTGTCCACGCAAGATAAGAAGGAAGTACCAGCCGACTCTGCGCTGCAAGAGCACGGTACGTCTACTCGATGTTTCTTTTTCGCCCTGTACTGTTAGTTGTTATCTTTTTCTTGCCCATTTTTCATTCTTATCCCACCCATGTCACGGTATAAAGAAGCCAGTATTTTTATTATTAAAGTGAGGCTCTAATGCTCCAACGATGCTTTGATTTGCTTGTCGTGTTTCTCTACCATCCAATCTTCTTTATATGGAATTGTGGTTTTTAAATGTCAGCGGCAGCCGGTTTCATCTCTGTTGTAGTGAAGTCCTGGATCGCGGAGAGAGAAGCGTCGGCATTGTTCGAAATTATGTCGTAATTTGACGAAAAATATCCTGTTAGTTTTTCTACACAATTCTCTTACATCCTGACAAATTGGCACAATCAAATCCTGATGTTACGAACAGATGGATTCTTTTTTACCCTCATGAACTGTTTGTTCCCAAAACTGACGAATAATACTCTTTATCGTCATTTACGAAACTACATCGTGACAGACTATTACTAAATTCATTAACGATGATATCGCCATAGTTTTTCATGTACTTGCGGATTTTCGCAATGCGAAACTACTAATTTGCAAACGCGAAATTGGTTAAGTATGGTTAGAGATACACACGACTGTCGTTGGCTGAACCGTAGACAGGTGTTTGCCAGCAGCACCCAATCAGGCGCAGCGACGCCCACTCCTGCACTTCACTCCCAGATCCAGGACTTTACTCCGTCGCTGCCGTCGCCGTGGATTCTCCGCTCTAGGAGTCAACCTGGCCCACCTCACCTTGGTGTCCCCCCCACCGTGTTTCCTGCATTGGCTAGTGTGCGTGTGTCTGGGGGTGAGAGTAGGGAAGAAGCAAGAGAGAGGGAGAGAGAGAGTAGGAGAGAGAGAGACAGAGAGAGAGAGACAGAGAGAGAGAGAGAGAGAGCTTGTATTTTCCCTTCCTTTTGTTCTTTGATTCCCCCCGACTCGCTCGGACGTGTGCGCCTGGGCCCCCGCCAGTCCAATCGCTTTAGTTCCGGGGTGGCTGGCGGCCGAGATGGTGCGGTAGCGGAAAAGGAGAGAGGGAGAGGGGATATTTGTCTTACCGCTAGAGTTAACTCGTCGTACAGTTAAACCTTTGAAGTATGATACTTGTGGGGTTGAGCTCGCCCACATCATCCTGTCCAGGACTTTGTCGGTGGCCTACGTCTGACAATCAGTAAACTTTTTGGATACCGACAGAACACTCGGTGTCACAAAGAAATAGACTTGATACCACTCTGCAAATCTTAGTGCAGAACTGTTCTGCAATTGTATGTGTGGCGAACACTTTGTTCTGTAATTGTAATTGGCAAACTGAAGCGTTCTGCAGTTGGAACTGCAGAACGGAAGTGTTATTCACTAAGAACTGTAGAACACACGGTGTCACATATATGCAACAGAGTGCAGTACTTCTTGCTCTGCAGTTGCAACCGCAGAACGTTTTAGATCGCCACTTTCAACTGCAGAACAAAGTTTTCGTCACTTAAAACTGTAGAACAGATCTGCACTTAGATTTGCAAAGCGCTCTAAGTGGTCCCCGATAACGAGAAGGCGTCGCGTCATGCATCCGCCTGTAGCTTTTTCACGCCGCATTAGTCCAGGAATAAACTCTCATTACTCTGAGCCCCAGTGCTGTCCCCGCCAGGGCCCGCCCCGCACGGCGGGCGACACTTGTAATATCGCTACAAACTTTGCGCAAAGCTGATTTCATCGAAAGGGCTTGACTGCCGCTGGCCACTGTCTCAAGAGAGAGAGAGAGAGAGAGAGGGGGGGGGGGGGGTAGAGGCGCGGAGAGTCTTTTCGCGTGGAAAATAATTGGCAGCCCGTCGTGCCTAAAAGGTCTAAAGAGACGGAGAGAATTGATAAGGGTAGACGAGGAGAGGGAGGGGAGGGGAGGGGGCCAGCAGCAAGATCAAGACGCTTTGCGGATTTGGTGAGGGAGGGTTCGAGCGGGAAGAGACAAGCGAGTGAAGGAAGGAGGGCTGCGAAAATGCTGCGGACAGCGGAAGGAGCGGAAGCTGGGCAAGCCGAGGCGGGGTAAATGGGGAGGGGTGGAAATGGTGGAGGAAGAAGGGGGAAGTGTGCAGGTGTGAGGCCGGGCGGCCGAGCGGCTAGCTGGGCCGGGCCACAAATCATGCGGCTGGGTTGGCCATCGGCTCGTCGGCTCGAAACCGGAAAGAGATTTAAGGCCGATTAGCGATTAGATATCGCTTCCGGCCAATCCAGGTAATCCCCGCCAAGTTATACATCGTGCACGCCACCTGCGCTGCGCACATTTACTAATCAAGTTTTTACAACAAAAACAATGTTTAACCAATAAAAAAGATGCAGTTTTGGATTTTACGGGGAGATCAGTATTTTTCGAGATCCCTTTCTGTTTTTATCGACACTGATGCGCCTGGCTGGAGAAAGTGTCATTGCTTGCGGGACGAGTTCAAGGTCGGTCGGAAAGACATCTCCGGTTGTTGGCACAGCTCCCGCCAATGCCCCGTGCAGGCCCAGGGAGGGCAGCCGGCCTGGCCTGGCCCAGCGGGGTTGGGCCGAGCTGTCCGCACAGTTGACACGGCAAACGGAGGCCAGTCGGGGGAGGAAAGGAAGGGGGGGGGCACTGCAAGATGAAATTTCAATCGGGCCGGAAGTAGAAGGGGGCAGAGAGAGACGTGAGGGGTTAATGGGGTCCAGTGACTCCATCGCCCGCCGCCGTCACCATCACGCCGGTGGTGGTGGTGGTAGTCAGGACGGAGGGCACATAGGCTCGTTTGAATACAACCTCGAATACAACAACCAGCCCACCTTGCCCAACTTCTAACCTCATGGACTTATTCTTGGGTGCTTGTACTTTTAATTGCGCATACTCCCGCTTTAATCTAATAGGTGTGTAATCGTTCGGCCCTTCGATTAGCAGAGTCTGTCTCCTCCCCCCTCCCCCTCTCTCTCTCTCTCTCTCTCTCTCTCTCTCTCTCTCTCTCTCTCTCTCTCCAGGTACGAGAGGCCTCGCACACACAGCTAGCTTTGGCTGGTCGTCCGGCTGAAGACCCGCACCACCTGTGCATGGAGCGGTGCGGAGCGCTGGCACGGTAACCTACTCCCGGGGCCCGGGGGCCCCTCGCCCAGGTCTGGGGCCCTCGCCGTGGCCCTCGCTGATGCCTCCCCTCGGACGGCCCGGCCCCCAGCCACACCCCCTGCACTCGTACCCTACACATCTCCAGCGCCTGCAATAAGTGCTCTGCAATTTCTGTTCTTTTCCTTTTCACTCATCTCCTTCTAGGCGGACGTGACGTGCGAGGCGTCAGAAAAGGTGTTTATTGCAATTACAAACTGTGTAGCGATCGCTTTTTCCACAAAGGGGTGGGACTACGGAGGGTTCCACGACAGTGTTTTTGCGTCAGATAACTCGCACATTCTTTTCAGCTCATGTAACGACGGGGAGGATAATTTAATGGCATTGATTTTCTTTGCTCTGAAATGTGTGTTGTTTCAGCGTAGTACTCTCTTACCTAGCATGTGTGTGTGTGCGTGCGTGCGTGTGTGGACGTTTTCCTGTTTTTGAATGTGCAGATGGTGTGCGTATGGATTTGTGTTTGTGTAGTTATTTTGTCACCCTTCGTTTTTACGCTATTGTACACATCGTGGTATGTGTCCCTTTTACTCAAGTTGTGTAGATATCTATGTGTCATGTTTCTTTTCTATCCACCTGCTGTTCCCAACTTTATTCACTTTTGGAGGATATTACCGCCGGGCACATCTGCAAGCGGATCTAACGGTGGTCGTTTTAGTCCGCTGCAATTTGTATATAAGATTGCCTGAGATGCAGATGTCGTTTTCACAAAAAAAAAACCTTTCCTCTGTTTCTTATGCTCTAGTTTCTTGTTTTACCTTAACTTTTTGCACCGTGTTGCATGCAGCGGGCCTACCCCTCCCAGCCACGGGCCGAGCCGTGCCCGTGCGGGCGCGCGGGCCGCGGCCTTAACCCCCGCCTCTCTCCTCACCTGGACACCCTGGCACCCCTGGCACCCGTCTCCGACTCGCGCTCCGACTCTAGGCACCACCACCACCGGCCGCGGCCGTCCCACAGCAAGCGCGCGCACAAGGTACCCTTCGGACTGGCGTGACGAGCGAGCGTCGCGTGGGACCTGGTGCGCTCATGCGGGAGATGACGGTTTGCTCGGGTTACTCTTCTGTTAAGGCACTCTGCTCGTGTATCAAGTACGCGTTGCGAAAGAGGAGATAGCGCGTGGCAAACAGTTTTCTCCACGCCGAGTCCAGCAAGTCCTGTGACACGTGCACCCAAAAAATATTTTAACTCAAGAGCGAGGGGCTCGGGAGGAAGTCCGTATGCATTTAATTATCTTGAGTGTGGGTATTCCCAAACCTCTTGCACTTGATTTTAAAAAATATTATTTTTGAGGTGTATCACGCAAGGAGTCGTACACAACAATATGTAGTGTATTTCGACTAACGGAGGAAGAAGAAGAGCGGGTAGAACATAAACGTTACCGATTGGTCGAGAGCTTCCCACCTCTACGCTACCTCTACGTCACGCCGGTAGTGGGGGTAAGCGCCAGGGACCTGCGTAGGGCGGGCACTTTCCGGGCACCTCGCTCTGCGCGCATGAAAAAAGTGACCACTGCCCGCCCGGAGCGCCTATAGAGCGCCCGGCCCTGCCCTGCCCGGCGGGCAACG